GTAGCATATTCTCACTATAGTCATGTGACAAAGGGGGAGGAACCTGGTGCCACCATGGATCCATGCCTAGCATGAGATTTAGATACAGTCCAGATCATAGCTACAATGTGCCATTTGTATGGGATGAGTATTGTATCTACGAAATAAGGAAAAACAAGATGGCAAAGTTCTCCTGAAGATCTGGAACTGGAAATGTGTCAAGGACATGATGGGGACTCTCTATGTCTATCCTTATACAAAGACTAATGCAGAGATCTATATTAACCCTTCATTGGTCCTTCATCCATTCCTGGATGGTGGGTAGAGGGTCACCTTGGGTGACTCTACTGAAAGACACTTCTGATTGCGCAATGTCTATGCCTAATCCCTGACTCATGTCCATCTGGGAGTTTTGGGTGTTCCCACCCACCTTTCTGAGTTCCAGCTTCTTACGTGACATCCTCCATGTTAACAATCCATCATGGTAAGGCGGGAACTCTTATATTGGGCACAAGGGATGTGCAGACCTGGGAACTACACCAATAGATTCCTCAAGAGATAGAGTAGATTGTCAGGTTGTTTAACTCTCCAGCATCCACCATACATTGAATTACACTACATGGCATAAAGTTTGTGGACACCTGACCATCTGAGCTTGGTGGACATTCCAAAACCGTGCACATTAATATGGAATTGGACCCCAACATCCTCCACTTCCCCAGGAAGGCTTTCCACGTGATTTTTGGGTTGTGTGGGAATTTGTGTCCATTTTGAGGTCAGGAACTGATGTTCATGAGAAGACCCGGCTCACAATCAGCATTCTAATTCATCCCAAAGTAGTTCCGTAGGGTTGAGGTCAGGGTTCTGTGGAGGCCACTCATTTTCCTCTACACCAAACCGGTCAAGCCATGTCTTTATGGAGCTCACTTTGTACACAGTCATGGTGGAACCGATAAAAGGTCTTCACCAAACTGTTACCACAAAGTTGGAAGCCCATCGTTTTCTAAAATGTCTTTGAAGGGAATTGATCAATACTGGAGCAGACAAAATCTGGAGTAACCAATCAGCTTCTCTCTTTCATTTTCAAATCTTAACCGGACAAACTGAAGAGAGAAGCTGATTGGTTGCCATGGGTGACTGCTCCATATTTTGTCTGCTCCAGTCTTGATAAATTCCCCCCTTTGTATGCTGTGGGATTAACAGCACACCTTCACTAGAGACTCCTGAACCCAATCATTCGGAGTGGGGTCCACATATGGTGCATCACTGTAGGGTGGACTGAACATTTAAGGCATGGGTTCTTACCTTTTAATCATTACAGACCCCCAATGGATTGCCCAATATGTTTCAATCCCCTCGTCACCAGCTTATCATCATCACCCTCATCAATCATCATCCACCAGTATGACTTTAAAAGGTGTCAATGGCTTTACTTTCCACATGGATAACGAGGAACAGAACAGCTGAAAGAAAGTCACGAGGGTTGTATTATATTTAAAGGGCAAATCACAAATCCACAAGCTTACCTCAACCCGGGAGATGTTTGCTCTTGTTTTTGTGTCACCAAAACATGGAGATCCTGACACATCACGTCCACTTCTCCACTTTGATTTCACTTAGGCAGAGCATATTGTTTCACTTTTTGTTTAAAGGAGAACTATGAGGGGGGGTGCTTTTCACTCACCTCATAGTTCTAGCCGACCTGTGACAATGAGACTGTCACTGGTCGGCTCAGTAGATCGGGAGGTGAGCGAACACATACCGGCGTTCGCTCACCTCTCGATCCTGTCACGGCTCTCTGCCGTGACAGGGGAGGGGCTGGATTCCCCCCTCCCCGCTCCGATCCGCCAGTGCTGACTGGCAGAACGGAGGGGGGAGGGGGCGGGAACAGCTGGCTCTGCCTCTAGATAGGCAGAGCCAGCTGTCACTCACGCAGCTGGTCGGATCTCGACATCGATGTCGGGATCCGCTCCGGCTGCGGCGTCTCAGTATACCGCGAGCTTAGGGTAACGGGAGGACGCTAGTTTGTGTCCTCCCGTTACCCTAAGGAGAACTATGGGGAAAAGCCCTGACCCCATAGTTCTCCTTTAATTGTTTAGAGATCTAGTTCTACACCCCCATTATTTGGTTCCCATACACCCACGGGGATCCGATACCTCCAGGTATAATGGAAGGTGTGTAAAGAAAAGACTTGGTCACTTTAAGAAGTCCACATTGTATTTGTAGGCCAGAGTCACGCCATAGGACCAGAAATAAGGTCTATCCATCGCTCCTAATACATCGTACATAGCTGGGAGATTCTTTCACATTCTTTACTTCCGAGATCAGAAACAGCATAACAGAAATCAGTCCGAGGAAACCGCATACAATCACCACATGGTCAATAGGAGAGGGGCTACTTTTGTTCCCCATGTGTGTGTGTTGTAAAAGTAGTCACCGCTCCGAACTCACTCCCGGGATGGAC